AATCACTCTAACGGGGGATGTGGATTATTGAGGAGGCCGTACCCGTGGGGGCTAGAAGTATATGGGAAGTCTTCGTACCTTCCTCTCCGTTTCCGCTCAATTAGAACATAAAGTCTTTTATATATAGTATATTTTTCAGAGACAGGCTCTTAATGCCCAGGCTGGTCTTGGGCCCCTTGGCCTTAAGTGATCCTCCCACCTCAGCCTTCCAAGTAGCTAGGACTACAGACACAAGCCCCCACTTACATAAAGTAAGAGAGAATGTGTGTGTGGCACAGAGTTGGTGACTATTGGAGCAAAACGTGTTGCTTGTGGACTGAGGAATCTCTGGACCCCCATCAGATCCACTCAGGATTATCCCTCCCTTGCCTTTTCCACATTCCCAGGCCTGCCTGGCCACAGACTGCAGCCAACGCTCCTGCCCAGCCCTCTTGGTGAATGTGCCCAGGCAAATTCTTAGGATCCTTCCAGATGTCATATTCTCTGATTCTAAAGAACGTGCTTTATGTCTCTGTTCTTTTTCTGTGTGTAGTTCCACTTACATACCTTTCTACTCCAGAGGTCAACAGAAATCCCCACCCTATTAATGTTTCTGCTCTCTGCCTAAGAGGCATGAAATTACAGCCTGCCACCTAATATTAAAGGTCATTTTCTATGAATGTGTAGATGGTGATGTCCAGATAACTTGTGGCTTAAAACATATGGTTCTTGTCTCCCCTGTTGGATCAGTGTCTGGACCATCAGGAATTGGCCTAGCTAATAAGGAGGACAGGCCTGGTCATTAGGCAGGAGACAGCGATGTCTGGTGAGCTGACGTGGTACAATGTCCCTTGACTTCCTGGGGCTTTTGGTGAACCTCTCCTGGGAGAGAAGATGCTCCCTAAATGGACATTTTCTCAGGGAAAGGCAGCTGCTTCCTAAACACACACAGCTCCTGGAAGCCCAAGCTGCTTAAAATCATATTTACTTTACGTGTTCTTCATCTTAATTACATTTTTTTATTTACTAGTGTCTTTATGCATTATTTAAAATGACTTTCAAAAATAACTCTGCGGTGATACGCAGTAGCTGTTTACCTCCCTGTGCTGGGTTTTCAGCTTTTTATTCTTGTGTGCCTATACTCACGCATTGCTGTCATCAGAGTGTAGATGTTACAGGCAACAGCACAATGCTGCTATCTACCAATTCCCAATCAAGGAGCAGGATTCCCGTGGGACCTTGTTCACATTGCCCAAGACTTGTTTAGAAAGCCTGCATTTGCCCTCCACACATAAAGTCTTGTATTCTACTTTTTAGGTTAGCATAATTTCATGCACACTTTTCCATGTAGCTACATAATCTTCAGATTTATCATTTTAATGGCTGCTTAATATTCCATCCAATTAGCATGCCATAATTTACTTAACTGTTCCCTGTTGTTGGGGCCTTAATGAAAATTTGAATTCACCATGTAATACAGAGGGAGACTTGTTTTAATGGTTGCCATTATAACATCCCCTGCCCTAACCGCATGCCATTACTAACCCAGCTTTGGTAAAGCACAGATGCTTCTGGAACAATAAATCCCGTATGAGAGGTGTGTGCACAAGCCCCTCTGATTTAATAGCTAATCTATTCACTGCACATGTTTTCCTTTTAGGCTGGTATTTATGTAGAATATCTGTCTCTTCTGAATATTGTGTAATACTAAACTGTGTGCATTTGGCATATTATTCCAGAGACTTTATCATGCTGTCAGAGACTTTCATAAATTATCAGGGATTTGGAGGTAGATCGTGGTTTCTGACTGTCAATTCTCATTCATTTATCCCACCACATTCACTGAGTATCTCTCTGTGAGAGCGAGAGAGAGCAAAAGCGCTCCTGATTATCAAAGCCAACAGGAAGTACATCTGTGAATTGTTGGTGGATTAAATGGTGGATCGCATGGAAAGTGCTTTGTAAACTGCTGAGTGCACGGTGGTGGTTACTGGTCCTGATTGCTTTTGTGAAAGAGAGGGAAGAAGAAGATGGTGTTCCCAGGTCAGTGCCTTATTAGCTGTGGTGTCCTCAGCTCTCAGAATGCCCTGACAGGAGGCTAGACTGTGCTCCTCAGAACCAGAGGGAGAGTAGCAGATGACGAGGACCCTACAAAGCTGTAAGTAGCAGATCAGATAGTTTGCCCACAGTGCCTTAGGGTTGGTCATTACCTTAAAGTAACAAAGTCCACCATCCTGCAGCTCTTCCCTTTTCTTTTCTTCTTCCTTTCTCTATAAAAGGAAAGCATCATCCTTAAAACTAATGATCCCAGTTTCCTGGAAGGACCCAATATAAGCTGTGTTTTGCCAAAGTATAGGACACCTCCTCATAGGAGATGTGATTTTAAGTGTCCTGAGAAGCATATCGTGAGAAGGTTTTTGTCTTTTTATGCTCTCCCTTTCTAGAGAGAAAATTATTCTCATTTGCCAAGGAAAGTGTTTTTTTGCTGCTTGCATCCCTCACCAGCCTGCCAACACTTGCAAATCTCCCCTTGCAGCAGAGAGAAAGCACGTCCTGGGCTCAGCCTCCCGGCAGACAGGGATAATACCTACCTCATGGGTTTGGTTCTCATTCATTCTGTCCTCAGCATCTATTTTTGCAAAGGATAGCAACTTATGATTTGCTGATATGAAGCTCTCCTTTTAAATGAATTTATTTGCTCTAAAAAGTGGGGCAATATATATATTTTATTCATTTTATTATGTTTTAAATTATATAATTCTTTTATCATTATTTGTTATTAGCATCTTTGGTAAATAACAACATAGGTGGTAGTTGAAAACCACCCAAGTCATAAAATCAGTATGGGACTAAATGAAGTTTGGAAAATACTGGTGTAGAGTTAATTAATGTAAACACTGAAGATCATAGGGCACGGCACCCTTGGCTTCTGTTTTATCAGGGTGTGTACAGGTGAGAATTTTCGTCATCTCTGTGAGCTGGCCTTGGATCATAAATCCCAGGCAGAGAGCAGCGCTCTTGCTCGGAAGGGCTGATGTCATTCTTGTTTTTATCAGCCACCCTTCCAGGCACATAACTCCTATGGACTTCTGCCACATCTTTATGCCACTGGAGCTCAACTCAAGAGAGCATTGCCATGGCTCACTCTCATGACCCTCAAGTCTCACCTCTACTCCCTCACCTCCTTGGTCCTGTGCTTCAGCCAAAGTGGACAATGGGCCTACATACACTGGAATATTATTCAGCCTTAAAAAGAAGTGAAGTGGCCAGGCACGTGGCTCAAGCCTGTAATCCCAGCACTTTGGGAGGCCGAGGTGAGAGGATTGCCTGAGCCCATGGGTTCGAGAACAGCCTGGGCAACTTGGTGAGACCTCATTTCTACAATAAATCAAAAAATTAGCCAGGTGTGGTAGCGTGCACCTATAGTTCCAGCTACTTGGAAGGCTGAGGCGGAAGGATTGCTGGAACTCAGCACGTTGACACTGGGGTGGCCGTGAGTATGCCACTGCACTTCAGCCTCAGCAATGGAATGAGACTCCAACTAAAAAAAAAACCAAAAAGTGAAGTTCTGACACATACTATGCTACAACATGAAAGAACCTTGAAAACGTTATGAAGCTGAATGATTCCATTTCATTCAGGATGGGCCTAGAGCAGTCAGGTTCATAGAGATAGAAAGTAGAATGTTGGTTACTGGGGACTGGAAAGGGGGGAATTGGGAGTTTCAGTTTGGGAAGATGAAAACATTCTAGAGACGGACGATGACAGTGGTTGCCAACAGTGTGAGTGTACTTGATGCCACTGAATTGTACACCTCATCATGGCTAAAATGATCAATGTTATTACGTATATTTTACCACTATAAAAAAATTAAGTGGGCAGCGACTGCATTCTTTCCAGCCGCGTTGCCTTGGCTTGCCTTGGTCCTTCCACAGAGAACGCTGCCCTTCTCCTGTCTCCACTCGTCAGAGCTGTCGATTCAAATGCCTTCTCTTCCCTCCTGCCCTGCCCCTTCCAGGCCCTGCACTGAGCCCCCTTTTCCAGTGTGCACTGGGGTTGATATACACACATGTGTTTCCTGGAAATAGTGGGCTTCCCAAGAGCTGCCTTCACAGCTAACCTTCCCCACATTCCTAGCTTGGGCCTTGCCCACAGTGGGTGTCCATGATAAAGCAACAGGTCGAGTTTCCCTGTTTGACCTGGGTTTTGCATCCTAGCATCGCCTTTCCAGCTACCACTGACCTCCCTGGACTGAGTAGTAGCTGAAATGAATGTCTCCTGTCTGGAATCTTATCTAGACAGGCTGTCACCCCTTGGTCCACTCCAGAGTCAGGCCTTAGCATTCTCCCTGAGGAGATTAAGAGCTTTCCCTCTTTATACAGAAGTGAGACTGGACATCTTCTCTAAAATCTCTAGATATATTCAGTCTGGTTAGAAGACAGGCAGGCTCTGGGAGCGATAGAAATGAAGGAATCACTCAGGCTTTCTAGGAGAGAAAAAAGGCCTCTGGGGAAGGCTCTTTCCTTATTGGCTCTTTTTAAATGAATATGTGAGTTAGGTAGAAACTGGGAGCTGGTGAGAACTGAGTGTCCCAATTTCTTTGTACAGATGGGGTCTGAAAGTGCAGAGAGAGCAGGGAACTGTTCTAGTGGGAAAGACCTCAACTCATCTGTCAAGGAGGCGAGAGCGCCACATGTTCTAGGCAGGTGTCAGGACATACCTGGAAGATCACTCTCATATCTGGGCTCTGCCCTTAAGACTGCGATTTGTGAGTGAGCAGAAGCAGGGCATGTTAGGTCTGAGAGACTGATCTCTGTGAGCTATCCTTGCCCAGTGAGAGCAGAGACACTGCCTTCAGAAGGCAGGCTGGGCAGTACAACCTAGAAGGGGGCTGTTTCTGTCATCCTCACTGCTCTGGCTGGCAGCTCTGAATTCATGAGTGTTTTCTGGAGGGGATCCCAGGTCAGGAAGCACTTGGTGCACATCCATTACATCTCTGCTTCCTTCCTCTTTGCCTGCAGAATTTCAGAGGCAGGAAAGTGTTCGGTCCCAGCATAAAGGTATCCAACTCTACGACACCCCTTATGAACCCGAAGGCCAAAGTGTAGACTCGGACTCAGAGAGCACGGTCAGCCCCCGGCTGCGGGAGAGCAAGCTGCCCCAGGATGACGACAGGCCCGCCGACGAGTACGACCAGCCATGGGAGTGGAACCGGGTGACCATCCCAGCCCTGGCAGGTAAGGAACCTGTGCCATACTCTCGCCTTGGATAAAGGTAGTATGCACAGCAGTCCCGGCCTGCTCTCAGGACAAACTCCCAGGCTTTGTTTAATAATCCAGTTGGGTTGCCCTTCTTCCTAGTAAAGCAGGGCCCCTCAAAGATTCTTTGAACCCCAGAGAAAAGGGAGAATTAAGGGAAGAGGGGACTGGGCCAAGAAGAAATTCTGGGCCTGGCTTCCAGGGTCTCGGTTCCAGTCTCCCAGGCTTCAGAGATTGCCCAGATGCTCTTGTTGTTTGGCTCTGGCTTGGTCTTATGATAATGCCCTAGCTCACTGAAGCCAAAATTTCTGGTTTCAGAGCAACTTTCTTAGAAATTAGGAGAAAACCAATGTGCAGAGCAGTTGGGCTTGTTGGAGCTCAGCAATCCCATCCAGTGCTGTGACTGAGCTGGGCCTGCACAGCTCACAGGGCCACCATGTCTCCTGTCCTGGCTTTGGCGTGGACCCACAGAGCACAGGCGATGACGTATCCTGAAGGCTCAGCGCTTCCCATAAGACCTTCCCCCAGCCGAGAGCCCCTTGGGTGACTTGGGTGCCCCCATCCTCCCCACTCCAAGACTGGTTTTCTGGAGCTTGGAGTGTCCATCCCAGTACAAAACTCCTCTCCTGCAGCCCTTCTAGAAAGTGGTCTGGGCACAAGTCATAAACTTATGCTCACACCCTTTGATTCCAACCCCACTCCTTAGAATCCATGCTGAAATTAGGATCAAACATTTAGAAACATCATTATTTATAATTGAAAAACTGAGAATGACCTGGATGTTAAGCAGTAGGGATTGGTGAAATGGATTTTTGTGTATCCATATAGTGGAATATTGTGCAGCCACTAAAAAGTGATATTTAGAGTTTATAACAACCTGGGGAAATACTTATGTTTAATGTTAAGAGGTGAAGAGCCAGGCACCAAAATATGTTTATATCTAAGAGTAAGAGTTTAGGTGTGTAAAAAGAGAAACACTGAGTGACATTTTATTCTTAGCACATTGAAGACCATAAAAGGAGAGTTTTAAATTTTTATTTTGTTTAACATTTACTTTGCCTTAAATCTCTCTCTTTTGTTTATTTATTTTGAGTTGTCGCCCAGGCTGGGGTAAGATCCCAGCTTACTGCAGCCTTGACCTCTTGGGATCAGGCGATCCTTCCACCTCAGCCTCCCAAGTACTTGGGACTACAGGCATGCGCCAACATGCCTAGCTAATTTTTTTATTTTTCAACGTCTTGTAACGTTCTTGACTGTTGCAGACTGTTCTTGAACTCCTGGACTCAAACAGTCTTCTCACCTCAGCTTCCCAAAGTGCTGAGATTACACGTGTGAGCCACCACGCCTGGCCAAATCTCTCTTTTTAATATACAACTAGACCCCTCCTCCCTTTCTAGTCCCCAATGGTGAGGCCTCTGCCCTGCCCCCATCCCAGTCCCTCAATTGCTGTTATAGCTGTTCCAACACATACTATTCACAGTTCCCTGTACGTAGCATGTCCTTTGCAAATCCCATTTTTCTACCTAAAATACCCTTCTCTGCCTTATCTTATTTGGGAAAAATTGTGGGATTCCTTTGAGTCCCAGCTCAAATGTTGCCATCTCTACATGCCCTTCCTAGTACATGCATCCCACAGACCCCCTTGCTGCCTCCCTGGCCCTTGAGTTTCCTGCACACGTGACTGGTGGAGCATTTCTCACACTGTATCAGAGTTCTGTAGGTGTTGGTCTTGTCTGCCAGGCTATGAGCTCCTCAAGCTCAGCCCATCTCCTCACCTTTCTATAGTCCCAGCACCTGGCCAAGAGCCAAAGACAAGAATAGTCCTGTGACTGGAGGTCCTTGGTCACCCCAGGTCTCTCCCCTTTTCCCTTGACCCAAGGAAATCCACAGACTGTCCTCTGGGCATGGCTAATCAGGGATCATGCTCCTCCAGGTGTGGGAGGAGCTGGTGCCATCCAAGAGCTTGCTTTTTGCCAAAACCAGTTTGTTTAAAGCGCCGCAGGGGCTCATATGGCAACTGAGGCACCAAGAGCTCACAGCATAACATAACATCACAGGCAGAAGTGGGACCTCATCCTCTCCTGGACTGACCACCTGCAGATCTCTCAGGGGCTACCGTTACCCTCAATGCTCTAGTCAAGTGGCATCTTGCTGATCAAAGCATCATCCCTGGACTAGCAGCTGGTTAGAAATGCAGAGTCTCAGGGCCCTTCTCAGGCCTATGGATCTTTAACAAGATTTGTGTATATGTTAAAGTGAGAAACACTTCCCCTTCAGGACATATCTTTCCAGAAGGCTCTGAGGCCAGAACTTGCCCTCTTCTGCCCAAAGGTGGTCTTAAAACTTCTGTACATTTAGTTGTGCCCAAAGAATCATAAGGGCTCAGATTGAGCTGCTCAGAATAAGTTTTTGAGCCCACAAGTTATCCCTTTTGACCTTGGTTCTGTGTCTCAGAGTTGCTATCACAGGTGTCAAGATCAGTCTGACTTTTTAGCAGAGCCAGAACCATGTCTTCGCTTCTATCTCATCAAGTCACTTGCATTTGTGCGTCCTCTTCCAGAATGGAGCCTGGGTGTGCTCTTCTCAGGCAGCTTCTGACGTGGTCCTAATTCCTAGGGCATAGGAGGAGGCTGTCTCACTTGGGCTGTAGAGATTCTGTGAGCTACCGCCTTTGGTCATGACTGAGTCCCTGTCCATATCTGTGGCAGAGTCTGTTGTGGGCAGCATTGATGGGCAAGCAGCACCCTCACTGTTTCCTGTCCCTTGAATGAAAGTGGAGTGAAAGGTGGATGAGCCAGACCACCTTTCAGGTAATGAGGAACACATTGAAACAGTTCACTTGGACTGTTGAAATGTTTCTGCGGCCTATTTGAAAATCCAGAGTGTGGTTACTCAAGAATGAAAGAGAGTTTTCTTATCTGAGTCAGTGTTGCGTGTGTGTGTACACACTCACCTGCGTGCATGTGGATGGATGTGTGAGTGTGTGTGCTGATGCTTTAGCAAGTCTTTGGCGTGGTTAGAGAATGAACCTGGGTCCCGTCCTTATCGCAGTACCTGTGAAATGCCCCACTGTTTTTCTCCACTCCTAGGAGCTCTCTGTGACAGGCATTGAGAGCCTGGGGTGCAGGATCCATATCTGGGGAAGGGCTGTCAGAATATTTACTGACTCTACAGGTTTAGCCTAGATGAGGAACCCTGTACTGGCAATTGGGTCACCGCTTCTGAATATCCAAAGGGTATAGATGTGGGGGACCCCCAAAGGGCAGATCTAGACCCACAAGGGAAGTCACAAGGATGTAGGGCCCAGGTGAGGGTTAAGAATTTCATTCAGACCTGAATATGTGTAGTGAGCTTCCCAGCACTTGGGGTTTGCAAGCAGAAGCTTGAATGAGGCAGGACTGATAACAAAGGGCACGTTCAGGGAAGTTGATTTGTAGTCCCTCCCGGGAAGCCTCTGTGCATCATTCCATCAGAACCCCTGGTCAGAGATAGGGAGGAGGGAAACTGCTGAAGTAGCCGGCTCCATCTATGACAAAAAAGTGCTGTCTGGCCCTCATGTCGCTGGCCTGTGTTAAGAGATGAAAAGAGGCACTCTCAAAGCACTGCATGGGCATTCCCCATGGGAACATCCCTTCCTGGGCTGCGCTGATGGGAGTCAGTCCTTTCCCATCCCACCAGGCTCTGGGCTGAGCCTTGGGAAGACTCGATTATCACTTCCCAGTTGCCGTGAAAACAGCTATTGTAGGGTGTGAGCTGGTTCCAGCTTCTTGGGAAGAAAAGTCTTCCCTTTTCTCAGAATTCGGTGGCTGGCATTTAATTAGGGATTGGGGGAGCTGGTGGGTGAGAAATATCACAAGCTGTCCAAGGAGTCCTGGGTGCTCGTTGCCTGCTCTCCCTCCAGAAAGCTGACTGTGGTTTTAGCCAGACCCCCTCCTACCGTGGGATCCCAGCCCCCAGGACAGATGCCTGTCGGGTTTCACTGCTGGCTACAGGGAGCAGACTGTGGCCCCATGGCCCATGGAGGGATGATGTAGCTTCCATCAAGTTGTCAGCCCCCTTCCCACCCAGCAGAGACACCTGCCTTCCTGAGCTGGCTGGACCCTGATCCTGGCCTGCTTTGAATCACCTCCTGGGAGTCTTTACAGCAACAAATTGTGAGGCCCAGTGGTGGGTCTAGAAATGGCCATCCTGCCCTGTCCCTGCCCCACCCCCAGATAAGGTCAGGCCCATATGAGGCCTGTGTGGCACCCCCTACCCAACGTAGGGGAGGGGACACAGAGCCTTGGATGATGATGTCGCACTGCCTTGGGGATGCTGCAGGTTGATGTGGCAGTTCTGATTGGCACCTTAGTTTTGTGGCTCAGATTGCAAGATGGACAAATGGAGCCTGCACAGGAAGTGGCCACCTAGGGAGGAGCCCATGGTAGGGCCAAGGAGCTGGGTTACATAGCCTGTAGAAACAGACCTAAACGAGGGTGGTAAGATTTGGTGTTTTTTCATCTCTGAAGAACCAGTGTAAGGGCATGGAATGAGAATCCCATTTCTGTTGTGGGGGCCTTAATTTTCTCACCTGGGTAATGAGACTAGTCCCTACTAACAGCAGGCCTTGATGACACTTGGTGCGTGTCACATCAGGAAAGTGCTGGCATGTTGCTAGCATTTACTGAGCACTTTCTGTGGACTTTGTCTTGCTTAATCCTTATGACTACCCTCTAGGAGGTTTGTTTCTTCCTTTCACAGATAAGGAAACTGAAGTCCTTAGGGAAGAAATGACCTGGCCAGGGGCCCGGCCCTTGGCTAGTCAGCAACAGAGCCAGGCTTTGCACCTGCCAGATCCAACTCCAGAGCCCATGCCCTCACCCTGTTGCTCTCTGGCCTCCCCGGTGCTATCCAACGTGCTGCATGAAATATGGTTGGAGCTCTCACCCTCCCACACACACAGGAAGCATCACATGCCTTTCAGCTCCCGTGCACCAGTT